GCCCCGCTGCCGGCGCCCTACTCGGGACTGCGCATGCCTGCCCTTTGCCCGGGGCTTCGGCGCCAACGCGCCTCACAACCAGAACCAGGACCAGGAGGAGGAGGGGGAGGAGGAGGAGGAGGAGGAGGAGGAGGAGGAAACGGGGAGGACGAGGACAAGGACGAGGATGAGGACGTGGACGAGGACGAGGACGAGGATGAGCAGAGGACGCGGGGCGCTGTCTCTTCAGAACGAGGACCAACACCCCCGGATGGCTTTGCACAGTTCGTTATCCTGGCGAAGGACCCAACCTTGTGCAGTTGCGAGTACCGCGTTGTGGCACCGCTCTCGGTCAAGTTCCCTATGGGGCCACGTATTGTGTGAGGAGTGTGCAGGAATGGGCGGGAAACTGCTTGCGAACGCAGCCACTGAGGCAAACGGTGGAGCTCCCTATGGGCCACGGAACGTGTGAGGGATGTGCCGAAATGGGGGGGGGGGGGGGCGGAATTGCGTGCGAGCGCAGCCATTGGGGCCTTCTGTTGAGCTCTCTATGGGGCCACGAAGCGGGTGAGGGGTGTGCCGGCATGGGTGGTGGAACCGCATGTGGACGCAGCCACTGGAGCTTTGGGTGAAGCTCCTCACGGGGCCACGACACGTATGAGGAGTGTGCCGGAATGATCGGGGAACCGCATGCGAACCTTGCCACTGGGGCACATTGTGGAGCTCCCCATGGGGCCACGAAGCGTGCAAAGGGTTGACAGGGATCGGGCGCGGAACAGCATGCGAATGCAGTCACCGGGTTTTCGGTGCAGCTCCATGTTGGGTTACGGAACGTGTAAGGGACGTGCCGGGATGGGGGGCGGAATTTTACGCGAACGCAGCCACAGGGGCTCTCGGTGGAGCTTTCTATGCAGCCGCGAAGCTTGTGAGGGGTGCGCCGATATAGGGGGTGGAATTGCACGCAAACGTAGCCACTGGGGCCTTGGGTGGAGCTCCCTATGGGGCCACGGAACATGCGAGGGGTGTGCCGAAATTGTCATGCGGAGAGCAGGGGCATGAATGGGACTTGGGAGGAAAGGATCGGATCCGATCGGATGAAGGCTCAGCGTCAGCCTGTTAAGAGCACAATAATGAAACGCACGCGCAGTAACACGTGTGCACAAAAAAACCTATGGGATGGCGCCCCTGTCTGTGTGGCTAGAAGCAACCAGGCGCAACGCCACACACAGTGTGAATGACGGCCACTGCCGTGATTGGAAGCTTCGAGGAACCAGCCTGGCACGAATGTAAGGAAGGCTCGAAGGCCCGAGCGAGCGTGCGCCACCCCAGTCAGGAGGGAAGGACACGGGAAGGAAGATGAAACCACCACAACATTTGAAGCGCAAAGGCCTGAGACTCCACACAGACTGGCAGGATACCTGGAACAATGCAGCCCTTGCATAGCGGCAGCTAAGCAAACCACAGCTTGCAATGCAGAAGCGGGCAAATAACACGAGGCCGCTCGTAGTGGCCACGTGCACCAGAGAGGGGCACCGACAAAGCGAGTCTGGGATGCCACCAGGTAGCAACAACAAATATCACAAGCATGTTCGATGACCAACGCGCAAAAGCTGCGACCCAGAGGAGGAGTAGGCGAGCAGGCGCCCCTAACTGAAAGGCAGGTTTTGGCGAACAGTGGTGACCGAAACGCGGCGTGCAGTAGTACACGCTAGGAAATCAAGCTGGCCCGGCCAGCCTGAGTTACGCCCTGCAGCTAATTAGGTTTGTTCGTAGGCCCGGACAACTTCTCTCGCCGCGTGCGCTCTTCCCTCGCGGCCGCGACCAAAAAAGTATCCCCACCAGCCCATCCAGAATTGATTGCCAGTTTTCGTGAGGCCTCTTTGGAGGCTATCTTGAGCCATGCTCGGCTATTGGCTGTCGGAGGCTATCTTGAGCCATGCTCGGCTATCTTGGGCCATCTTGAGGCTGTTTTGAGGTTTCTTGGAGGTCTGTCGGAGGCTATCTTGAGCCATGCTTGGCTATCTTAGGCAATTTTGAAGGCCATCTTGGGCTATCTAGGGCTTTCTTGGAGCCATCTTGGGCCAAACAGGGCGGTGTGGAGGGTCTTTGGGAGAGGTTGGGAGGCCTCTTGGGGCCATCTTGGGCCCCATGTCTCAAAAAGAGGAGGCGCCTTGACTCGGATCCCCCCCGTCGGAGGCTCTCAAGCGGCGTCATGGGGCCGTCTTGGAGCGCTCTTGGGCGCCTCTTGGGCGATCTTGGGGCCGTCTTCGGCTTTCTTGGGCCCCTCTCGGGGCCCTTTTGGGCCGTCATGGTGCCATCTTGAGGCTTCCAAAGCCCATCGGAAGCGAAAAGGCGAGAATGCCAAAAATATGGATTTCCGATAGGCTTTTGAAGGGTTTTGGCATCTTGGAGAGCGCCGTGGAGGGCTCGAAGGGCACTTGGATCCGTCTTGGAGCTGTCTTGGGGCCTCTTGGGGGTATGTCGGAGGCTATCTTGACCCATCTTGAAGTAATATGGGCCATCTTGGAGGCCATCTTGCGACTTTGAACGCCTCTTGGAGCAATATTGGGCCATCTTGGACGCTCTAACGCCTCGGTACCCCCCCCTTCCTGGCCCAGGGGAGGGGGTATGGGGGAGGTGTTTCAGTGGAAGAGAGAAGAAAAACAAACGCGTTATACCACCTAAGCCCAGAGGGTTGGTGGGATTCCTTGCTTGCTTTGCACATTCTAGCGCATCGCCAGCGTCCATCATGAGCGATGTGCCCACAGGGACGGCACGCTGGTCGCCGACTGGGAACGCAATTGAGGCAGCGGAACCAACCATTATTCGCCCGCGAGACGGGCCATGACCTCTTCTTGCACGTTTTACAAGAAGGAGGTTGCCCTGGGCGGGAACTCTCGCTCGCATCCCTTGAGGCTGCGCAGCGGGGTCCTGAGCGAGACATCGCGCGCGGGTAATGGTGTTTTGGCAGCGCACCAAATAACACAGTGTTCTCTTAGGACCTTCCAGCGCGCCTTGCGTGGAAATGCGCAGATATCTCCCACGAGCAGATCCTGGTGAGCCTAAACATTTGTGTCATGGCTCTCAGGCACGCAATGTTCTTCTGGTCTGGGAACATCCCGCTCCTGATCAGAGCGACCGGGCTGCTCATCAGCACAGCTGTTAGGAGCTTCCTCCGCCTCATCAGAACCAGTCGTGAGGGCGCGAGTGACTGTTCCACCTTGAGACCGAGGGGGTCGGGAGCGTCAGCGGGGGCGATCCAGCGGGGCAGGCATAGGGGTGGATTGGGACCGAAAGTTGGGCTGAGAAGAGGCACGCAAAAATTCATCGAGCGGAAGCGATGGAAGAGCGAGAATGTTCGGCGGCCCTTGAATTTTCTTTGCAGGTCTTTCAGCAGGGAAGCCAGCAGCAGGTGGCGTAGGCGGCGGAGGCAGTAGCGGCGCAGCACCCTGCCACATTGGAGGAGGCGGCGGCGCTGACGGAGAGGCGGCATCGCAACAGCTTGCCACACTGGGGGCGGTGGCGCAGGCAGCCAAGGCGGAGGAGGCAATGGATAGCGTCCGCCTCGCGCTTCATTCATGGCGTCGCAGTCACTCGCCCTCGTGAGTGGCACGCTGGGCCCGAGCCGTATTCGTATGGGGGAAAAGGGGCAACTCGGTTGCGGCTACGGTTCGGGCCTGGGGGGAGGGAGAGGAGGAGAGGAGAGGAGGAGGAAGGACGCGGGGCGCTGCCCCTTCAAAACGAGGACCCAACACCACAGGATGGTTTGGAATAGATCAGGAAGAACGAGCGAGCGAGAGAGGGAGGGAGAGAGAGAGAGAGGGCGTTGGGGTACAGTTGGTGCAGCCCAGCGGCGCGCCGCCAAATTCGCAAAACGAGGTGCAGGGGTCAACTTCGCGAACAGGAGTCAACCTATATTCCATGTATCGGCCACTCAACGGATGAGGCCCCAAGAGCAGCGCACGCGCGTCGTGGACATGGGACGTGCGCGCACCATGACCATGCCGCGATCGTTGAGATCGTTCACCAGGGGAGGCAGGCGGGAGCGATCATCAAAACGAAGGTCATGACAACCGATCGATGCAGGAGGCAACCGGGACCGAGTGCCGACATAACGGCCGGAACAGTTGGCTCCAAGGCGGGACGGCGTGCGATGGAGGCAGCAGTTGGAGGGCCAACGGGTGGGAGTGCATGTCAACCGTGCAGGCCGTGGAGGCAACCGACCTGGAGACAGGGATGGTGGGTGGCGCGACGGGTTTCGCAAGCCCGCCCGTACCGCGGCACGAACGTCACCCTGTCGAGCAGCCCGCTCACGCCCAGAATGTTTTTCATTAGCGAGGGCGCGCATACAACGCGTTCGGATAGTCGGCGGGCCGCGCCGAAGTTCACGCTCCCAGATGCGCACGCGCAGAGAGCACACCGATCTTAAGGTATCTGGCGTTCACTCTCACAACCAAGCCGCGCGATCCGTTTCCCGATGCTCGCTGTACAACCTGAGGGACGTCCAGATGCGTGGACTCCTTCGCCCCAACCCCTACCGCCGACGCGATTCTCCATCGTGGCATTGGCATTCTGGCATCGGAAAGGGAGGAGGGCGACACCGATGACCGAGATGGCGGACGAGGGACAAGGGCAACCAGACACACGGAGGGGAGCGAATCGAGGGAGGGGGTGGAAGAGGAGGAGGGAACGGCCGCAGGGAGGAGACGGGGTAGCCACTGGGATGGAGGGGGGGGGGAGCAGCTAGGGAGGCAAGACGAAGAGGTGCTGGCCAGACGTCACAGCACCAGTTTCGATGACAAAAGATGGACCAGAGCATTTCCCCAACGCAGGGCAGCAGTGTAGTCGCCTCCCCTGCTGTTTCCTTGCCCCGGACAGACCACAGTCGGATTGAATGATTGCTCACGTCAAAGTCACAACATCCCAGAATCTAGCCATTCGGACACTCTTGTGAATTATCTCCAGGGTTTCCTTTGCTTTCGCTTGTTACCGATCCACGTGCCCCGGCTATGCTCTGTCAGGTTATTGCGCCCGATGCCTTGGACGGCTACTGGCGAAGTAGCAACAACGATGATCCTGTGTTCATACGAAAATCAAAAGCCAAGTTCGAGAATGGGAAGACATGGACATTGCACCTACGAGGCGATGGCGGCATTACAGCCATGAGATCAAGTGGCGAGCAATACAGTGCATCACTCTTGCATGGTGGGCTACATTGGGATGACGGCGACGTTTGGGTACGGGACTACCAGGACGTTGCCTCATGATCTTCATGCGGGCGATCTTGCTTCCGTCTGTGCAGAACTTGTTTGCATGTTGCGGACGTGCGTGACTCAAGGGGCAAACATTTGGAGCGCATGCGTGCGAGGTGTTCGTGTCACCGAGGTGTGACTCAGCTCATGTGCAATATTGTGAACGTGGTCAGATGCTTGGGAGATGAACGCCCCCCCCCCTCTCCCACCCGTGACTACACAATTGGAACGACATCGGATAGGAATCCGGGACAGCTTGTTCCCCCCACATGTTTCGTGGGGTCATAGAATATGGTTGTCTTCCTCGTCGCGTCGCGCCCGCGTATCCCTCCTCCCCTCCTCCTCTTCCTTCCTCCCCTCTCCCACGCGCAACACATGCACGGCACGTACATGAGACGCGCGTCTACACGCAGCCGCACGCATGCACACATTCGCACATACACGCATCAACAGCGCCAGTGCACGCCTGGCGTGTTCACTGCACCACACACCCACGACGTGTGAGCTACATACTGGGCACCCACATGAGACACGTCAAGATACAGCCGCACACGCATCACACACACGACATAGACGCGTAGCATTCGCCCAACACATGGGGGTGCGTGCACATGAAGGACTTAGCGGGTTTTTAGGCGCCAGTCTCATCGATCTTCATCGGGTCACTCTGTAGTCATCCTGACTCAAGTAGTTCACCGCATGCAGTCCACGGTCGGCCCTCTGCTGGCCACTCTCACGATCATCCTCCGCGACGCCGCCCAGCGTCAGTGGTGGACTGGCCTTGCTGTCCCGCCCGATCCTCCGAGTTCGTAGGAGCCGCCGCCGCCCCGCGCCTGCTGCGCGTGTGGAATTTACCTGTCCTGAGGCCGTGGTCCCCCCTGGCGTGTTGGAGGACGTGATCCGCCGCGTGAGGGCGGAGGCCTGCATCTGTAAGCTCACGTACGAGTCGGACGAGCACGACCGTTGGCTGATCGGCATCGCTGTCTAGCGATCGGCTCCCAGTCAGTGTGTGTTTCGGCCTGGTCAGTGTGTGGCGCTGGCTGTCCGCCCGTCGAGATGGCGGTCGTGGAGGTGCGCCCCATGCGGGTCGCGGACACAGGCGAGCCTCTTTACGGCGGGAGTTATCGGGTATGTTGCAGCTTGGACGGCTCGTGGCCATCAAGTACCCAGGGGACGGGTTCTGGCATGAGAGGGTCGTCGTTGTGATTCAATATCACCCCCGAGGGTTTGCAAGAGGGACCGAGGGACCCTGCCAGGCAGATAGAGCCCCCGCGGAGGCAAAGATCCCCTTTTCGTCCATGCCCTTCCTTGTGCTGCTCTCACCCCTATTTCCCGCTGCCCACTCGGTTCAATTATATTATGCTGCAGGGCCCTTGGCTTGAGCTACGCCTCGCCTTGCCGCGTGAGAGGGTACCAGATATCTTGGCGCAGCGCGCCCATCCATATCACAGTGGTAGCTTGGAGCGAGGCTCGCTGCCCCGGCCTTCGGGCCGCACATATTCCACGACGACGTCTGCGACGTGTCCGCCCACGGAATCGACGACCAGCGTCGTCCTGATGCTCTGCTGCGCGTTGCTCGACATCATCAGCGTCTGCGACGCCCAGCACAATACGAGTGTGAGCGACACCACTGCCTACCAGCTCTCCGCACCCGCAAGCGCCGACAACGATGTCATTCCCCGCCTCACCCTCGTGAACAGCGCCAGCGACGCCGAGTGCAAAACGAGTGCCAGCGACACCACCATCTACCAGTTCTCCCACGCGGCAAGCTCCGACAGTGATTGCATATCTTATCTTATCTTCGTGAACAGCGTCAGCGACGCCAAGTGCCACACGAGTGTCAGCGACATCATCTACCAGCTGTACGACCCGGCAAGTGCCGACAGCTCCTTTCGACTAGCTCAGCATCGAATCGGTTTGTATACATATAACGGCGCACCGGGGCCAGGGCCCCCGGGGCCGCGGTCTCTACCACAAATGGGGGTGCACAGTGTCATGTGCCATTTGGTTTTAATGGTTTTGGCGACCCGGGGCCTTCAGGGGCCCCCAGAGGCTGCAGGGAGGCGGCAGCGACGGCTCCAGACGCCTTGAAATATTTGTTTTGACTTTCGCAGCGTCCAAGACGGCCCAAGAGGCCCCCAAGGCTGCCCACAGGCTCCCAAGAGGGCTCCCAGACAACCCCAAGAGGGTCCCAAGACGGCCCGACAGGCCCCCAAGACAGCCCAAGAGAGCCCTAGGACGAGCCCCAGAGGGGTCCCAGAGGTGCAGAACCATATTCAAATTGAGCTTTCGGCCCCAGAGGCTCCCGGGAGGGCCCAAGAGGTCCCCAGGATGCCCCAAGAGGCCCCCAAGAGGCCCCAAGAGGCTCCCAAGAGACCTTCAGGAGGCTCCCGAGAGGCCCCCGGGAGGCCCCCAGGAGGACCCCAAGGGGCGCCCAAATTGCCTCGAAGACGCCCTTGAAAAGGCTTCTAAGATGCCTCCAAGCCCCGTCCCCAAGAGGGCCCACACTGGCCTTCTGGTGAGAATGACGAAGGATGTTATGACATAACATCGTCGAGGGGTACCATGACGATGGTCATGATGATGGGGAGATGGCGGTGGCGATGATGAGAGGAAGGGAATTGTCATGAAGATGGGTACACTAGCGATGGTGATGGTGCTGATGACGATGACGATGCTGATGGTGATGATGCCGATGGTGGTGGTGGTGGTGGTGGTGGTAGTGGTGATACTGGTGGGGATGAGGAGAAGGATGTGGATGAGGATGAGGATGTTTATGAACAGGGGGACGAGGAGGAGGAGGAGGAGGAGGAGGAGGAGGAGGACACGATGATGAACTATGATGCGGATGATGGTGGTGAAGGTGACCTTTAGGATGGTGAGGATGAGGATTGGCGTCTGAATGGGATGGATCAGATCCGGATGTTTGTGATGATGGTGATGGTGATGTCTGTCATGATGATGATGTTGATGGTGGTGGTGGCCCTGAGGATGCTGACGATGATGACGATGCTGTTGATGTTGATGACGAGGGTGGCGATGCTGCTGATGATGATGATCTTGACGACGATGATGATGAAGGGGGGAGGGGGGGCATAATGAGGAGGATGATCATGATGATGGTGACGATCATGATGATGATGCTGATGATGGTGATGAGTATGATGATGGTGATGCTGGTGATGATGCTGACGATGCTGGTGATGCTGGTGATGATGCTGAGGTGGAGGGTGATAATGATGATGTGGATGGCGACGACGACGACGGCGATGATGATAATGCTGATGATGTTGATAGCAATCGTAATGGTAATGGTGATGGCGGTGATGAGTCTGCTGATGCTGATGATGCTGGTGCTGATGCTACTGCTGATGCGGTTGTCGCTTCTGCTGCTGCTTCTGCTGCTTATGATGATGGCGATGACGATGACGATGCGGCGAGGCGGGATCAGGATAGCCGTCGCACGTGTCATCTTCCGTCTTTTCTTCTTGAGGAGCTTCCTAGGAGCCCATTTGGGCGGTTTTTGGGCCGTCTGGGGCTTTCGTGAGGCAGATGTGGGGGACTTTCGGGCTTGGGCCAGCCCACTTGGGGCCCTCTTGCAATGGTTTGAGGCTCTCTGGGGCCGTCTTGGGGCCCTCTTGACTGTCTGAGTTGGGGGGCCTCTTGCGGTCGTCGATGGGCCGTATTTGGGCCGTCGATGGGCTCTCCAAGGCCGCCCTGCGCCGTCTAGGTGCTTTCTTGGGCTGCCTTGAGGCCGTCTTGGAGGATTCTTAGGTAATTCGGGGGCAGTCTTGGGCCCTCAGTAGTGGATACCTTTAGGGCCGCCTGGAGCAGAAGGGAACCCGAACAGGTGAAGACGCCGGAGACTTTCGCATTCGCCTCTTCGGGCCTTACTGGGGGTTCTCTTGTGGCTCTCTTGGGACTTTTGGGGGGCGTCGTGGGCCGTTTTGAGGCCACCCTGGGCCAAGTTGGAGCCATCTTGGGCCGTTTCGGAGGCGTCGTTGGCCATCTTGGCGGCCTTGGTTGCCTGTCTTGGCCGTCTTGTGAGCTCGGGGGGGATGAGGGAAAAGAAGGACAAACGCATGGAGAAGCGGAGAGCTGCTCCCTCCCTGCAGGCCCGGGTGCAGTTGGCATAGACATGATTGGTATTTTCCCCGTGGTTTCTAACGCCATGTTGGCATTGGCGTTTCGACAGCGCGGGGAGATTCTTTGGCTTACGCCGCACCGCCAACCCCTTGGGGGAGAGTCGCTGTTGCGGCTTCTGGGTGATGCGTGACTTAAGCGGCCTCGGAGGCCCTTCAGATCGCTCCAAGACGGCACACGAGGCCCCGAAGAAGGCCCAAAACGGCCCAGGAGGCTCCCCAGACGACCTAAGTGTGCCCCAAGAGCGCGCCAAGAGGGTGCCCAGAGGGGGACCGCGAACTGATATTTCGAGGTCTCTGGCCCTAGAGGCCCCCAGTAGGCCCCCAGAGGCCACCAAAAGGCTCCCACGAAGGCCCGCGAGGCCCCCAAGAGGACATGGTTCATCATGGGCCCGAGGATCTCCGGAGGCTCCGAAGTACCATTGCGCTACCGGAGAGTTAGCTGGGAAGTTGATTGGGAGCATGATTGATCACCTTCTCGCGGCCCTCCGCGGATCGTTTCGCACAAAGTAGACGAAGACGACGACGACGACGACGACGACGACGACGACGACGACGACGACGACGACGACGACGACGACGGCGCGCCCCAAGAGGCGACGACGACATTACGACGACGACGACGACGACGACGACGACGACAACGACGACGACGACGGTACGCCCGAACAGGCTCCCCAAGACGATTCATCAGGCCTCCGTCCCCCTACGCAGCCATCTTCCCCGAAAGCCTCCCATAGTGCGGATTGACATGCACGGACTTCTCACTGCCCATAATGCGTTCAGCGCTGTGGGCACTTTACTTCCCGCTAAAACTATCTGTGGTCCACTTACTTCAGTGGAGCAGTGAACTCGTCAAGGCCTGGGGCCTGCTAGAACCTGAGCGCTGCGCAGTGCGCTTCGTTGCATTCGCCCCCCGCACGCTGACCCCTTTTCTCGGTTGCAGGGTCGGAAGGGTCGCACCTTCTCTTGTCCCCCACGTCATAACAATTGTTTTCGCTGGGTGTCCGCAGCGTCACCTGATGCAGACGGTGTTCGTTGTTTAGCTGGCATGGTTGCACTGCCTCCTCAGCAGGGGCCCGTGGCGCGCCGTGCTCTTTACGAGCGTCTAGCGCTTCGAGTGCGTTGCGTGCACGTTGCGCATGGCGTGCGTGGCGTGTTCGCGAAGTGTGCTTGGTGGTCGTGGCCCGTCCCGTGTCGGCCCCTTCCCATCACGGTAGGGCGATTTGCGCTGTTCTCCACCCGACCTCCACTCGAAAAAGGTGCGGGCAATGTGATCCAAGCTCCGTTTGTTGTTTTCCGTCTTGCCCGCAAGTGCGGGGGGCGTCGAGCGGCATTATTTGGGGCGGGGTGTTTCTCTTGGGCGGGGCAGGTTGGCTGCCTCGCCTCAGGCCCGCTTCCGCTCGCGCTGGTCTGGCCGCTCAGCCGGGGGAGGAAACTTCAGCCATTCGCGCTTCGAAGCTTGAGATTATTGCAGGCCCACAGGTTACACTCTTCCAGGGCTTTCGGTGGTGATGGCGGCCCAGAGGTTGTAGCATGTCCGCGCGAAGTGTCTAGAGTGCCGGCGTCGGCTTCCTCGCTTCCCCTCTCGTTTGCCTCCTCTCTCGCACTTAGCTGCGGCAGATCGAACAAGCGCCCTTGACGTCTTCAGGCCACGATTGGCGTGTGTGTGTGTGTGTTAGCGTGTTCCCGCCTTTGGGCCTTGCGTGGTGCGTGAAGTATTGGGTTCTGGTTTCTCTAAGTATTCGTTGCTCTTCCGTCGGGTCCCCCAAGCACCTCGGGATCATGGGACTGTTCACGTTGCCTTGCATTGCAATGTGCTTCTTGATTGCTCATCGCTTCGCATTGTATTGCGCTGCTTCCCTGTTGGCTTGCACTAAGTGCTGCGACTTTACATTGTGCTGCGTTGAATTACATTGCTTTGCTTTGCTTCGATTTGCTTATCATTGCTTTGCATCTGATTTCCGGTGTTCAACCTTGCAGTGCAGAGCGCGCGTGCTGTGTTTGCATTGCGTTGTGCTGTTGCATTGCCTTGTGTATTCTTGCATTGCGTTGAGTTGCAGTGCTCGGTGAATGCATTTGCTTTTGGCCACGTCACTTCGAATTGCAATGCGCTTGAGCTGTGCGGCGTTGCTTACGTTGCGGTGCACTTGAACTGCCTGGCATGGAAAGAAACCTTGCTTGATGGGCACATGTTCCAGCATTTTCCTTCAAACCGCGCTCGATGTTCGTGCAGGGTCGTATAAATATATGTATACGTGTGTGCAGTTGCTTGTTAGTCGAGGGCCAGGGTTGCTAGATCCTGAGCGCGCGAAGCGCGCGCGTGGCTGAAGTACGTACGTGACCATACCCATGTATGTATATGATCATTGCTCTCCCACTCTCTTTCTATTTATTAAGTTTCTCCATCTCTCTCTCTCTCTACTTGTATATCTCTGTACTGTTATTCTCTCTCTGTCTCTCTATCCAGTTCTCTATGGCACCACTTACCAATCATTGCGCACGTTTGCTATGTTTGCGATGCTATCGCGAGTGTTCGTCATGGCCCTTGTGTATGTGATTCCTTTGTCTTGCTCGCGAGTAGTGCGGAAAAGTAGTGGCCAACCAGGAGTACCGCATTGACAATTCCGTTCTGAAGATTAATTCCAAGGCGATCGCCTTGAATTGGCAGGCATAGCAAAACACAGTGGGCGCGGTGCTGTGTCTTAAACAAGTCCGTCACTTCGCCAATGCAGCAGCGCAGGAGTACTGATGTTGAGAGTTCTGCCCGGTTCCGTCCTGCGCCGCATGTACACGTGCACATATTCAAGTGATTCATGTGTGCCCAGGTTCGTATAGACCAGACAGGGAGATGTTTACAACAACCTTGGGGTAGGTTTGGCACATTCGGCGTGCGACGTTGTGAGTTTAAAGTTGCGCAGCTGCCAATATGATGACCAGCGTGTTACGCATCTAGACTACAAACACAAATGTGCCAGTGATTACGTCCAGCAATGCCTAGATCACCAAAGCACGCGCTGCCTTGGCACAAGCCAGTGCAAGGTAGTTGGAATCATTTTCTTTTGTGGTACACCGAGTAAGATGTTGACATCACGGATCGCCAATTCAGAATATCGCAGTTCTCAAGAGTTGTTTGCAACACCTTTGAACCAATCCCGTGCGTTGGCATATCGGGCAATTATGTTGAATAACCCGTTATTGGGTTATGTTGGGGTTTTCTTGGTGTGTCTCAGGGGCTTGTGAGGCTCTCTGAGCGTTTCCCGAGGCGATTCTAAGACGAAGCAGCTCGAACGCAAACGCATTGTTTTTTCAATCGGGTTCGCTTTTGGGGGCCGTGCTGGAGTCCTCTTTTGGCGTCTCTGTGAGGCTCAATGGGGATCCAGGGAGCAGATCGACAACATCCGTGAGTCTTTGCATGGTTCGTTGGGTCGCCACTGGGTGGTATTGGGGCGTCCGGCAGCCGTCATTGTCCATTCTTGGCCCGTCCTGAGGCCGCCTTGGGATGGGCGCCCGTGGAAGACGACAGAAGCCCTACTAGACAGCTAACAAGCATTTTGACAGCCCGCTATCGTATTTGAGGCTTGTCGGCTTGTCTAAGTCACGCTACGCTCCACATCCGCATTCATCTAATACTATGCGAATTTTCGCTTGACACGCACTTCCTGATCGCCTGCCTCGCACTCATGACTTCTTTTGGTATCGTGATACTCGGGCGCTCGCCTGGCGGCCCCTCCAATTCAAATTCACCCAGGGCAATTTCGCGATTCAGTTATGATTTTTTTCCCGTCATCCACGCGAATTGAGATGTTCATCACGTGCCTGTCTTTCCTACCCCTTTCCTCGTCCACTTTCCTACTTGGCCTCTCTTCGGCGCGCAGTTTGTACACAGCAGTCACGTACAAACGCGCGGTCTCTTGTTCTCATGCGCCCCTTGTTTTCCTTCGTCCTTCCCCACCCACTCTTACTCCCAGGGCTTCCTTCCCCAGGATCCATTCCCTCCTTTCCGCCTGCCCGCCATTCCTCCCCTGTTTCCCATCGCCCCTGCGCGAGTACTCAGACCAGTGACATCTTGATGTTGTAGCGACACTTTGAATGGATACCGAAGGAAAGCATCGCGAGCATGTTGCCTACGTCCGCCGCCGTTTGTATTTCAGGCGGCGCGTCACCAGAGTTTGACTGCGTAGTTTCCGAGGTACTATCGCACCTGAGCAACGGACAAGGGGTCGATCCAGATCCTTCGATGGTGCACCCTCCGATCCCATCCCTTATCGCCTTACGATGTACAATGGATAAGCTATGGGATACGATCGCGAAGGCCTCAGGCGTGATGTATGATACGGCTTACCATGCCCGTTTCGATTTGGCAGCGGGGTTGGCCTCATCAGCATGGGCCTGGCTCTGACTAAGATACCAGTAATTCCACGGCGCAGAATGGTGGACTACATGTACGGTAGTACATCCATTTGCGCCGGATTCCTTGCGGGGGTCAGAACCACGAGACCGACTTACACGTGATATCACAGCGACCGACGTCTACGTCGGCTTACACATGTACGCCACTGTTCTAAGCCATTCCGCCCCTACCCACGACCAAACAATTGGCAACGCAGTATCGTACTTCATCTCTTCGAGCGGCAACAAACGACAGCGCGGCCAGGCGTAACCCGACACCCATCCGAGGGTGGGCCTAACATCATTACAAGACGACGGCCACATGAGCCCACAATCACGACAAGCTGACGTACGCGTCAGCCCGCAAACACGACCACGACACCAAACATATACATATAACGGCGCACTGTGTCTGGGGGCCCGGGGCCGGGACCCCGACCGCAAATGTGGGCCCCGGGGGACCCGGAGGCTCGTCGGACCGCCGGACGCCGTCCAAGCTCGTTCGCAGGCGGCTTCGGAACGCGCTTCGATGGCTCCAGATGCCTTCCAAGACGCCTGTCATGACACCAAGGAGGTCCCAGAAGCCTCCAAGACGCTCCGAGAGGCAGCCCAAGAGAGGCCCAAGAAGCAAAAATCGTGCCATTCCTATGGGAAAACGTATATTTTTCGCATGTTCGCATCTTGGGCTTTCACCGCGTCCAAGACGGCCCAAGAGGCGCCCAAGACGGTCTACGAGGCCTCCGGGAGCGCTCCAAGGCTGCGCACGAGTGGCCCAGGACGGCCCCAAGACGGCCCAAGAGAGCCCCAAGACGAGTTCGAGAGGGGTCCCAGACGGAGAAAGCCAACCTCGAATTCCGAGCTTCCGGCCCAAGAGGCTCCAGGATGCGCCAAAATGCCGCCAAGAGGCGCCAAAAGGCCCCCAAAAGCACCCCAAGACGTTCCGAAAGGCACCCCAAGAGAGGTCCAAGAAACAGAAATCGTGCCATTCCTATGGGAAAGCGTACATTTTTCGCATGTTCGCATCTTGGGCTTTCACCGCGTCCAAGACGGCCCAAGAGGCCTCCAAGACGGCCTAGGAGGCCTCCGGGAGCGCTCCAAGGCTGCGCACGAGTGGCTCAGGACGGCCCCAAGACGGCCCAAGAGAACCCCAAGACGACTTCGAGAGGGGTCCCAGAAGGAGAAAGCCACTCTCGAATTCCGAGCTTCCGGCCCAACACATCCCAGGAGGCGCCAAAACGCCGCCCAGAGGCGCCAAAAGGCTTCCAAAATCAGCCCAAGACGTTCCGAGAGGCACCCCAAGAGATGTCCAAGAAGCAAAAATGGTCCCATTCCGATGGGAGAAGGTATATTTTTCGCATGGTCGCCTGTTGGGTTTTCACCGCGTCCAACACGTCCGAAGAGGCTCCCAAGACGGCCTAGGTGGCCCCCAAGAGAGTTCCAAGACGGTTAACGAGGCGCCCAGGATGGCAAAATTGGATTCCAAAATTGCCTAAGAGAGCCCCAAGGCGTGCCCGAGAGGGGTCCCAGAGGGAGAAAACCATTGTAGAATTCCGAGCTTTCGGCCCCAAAGAGGCTCCAGGAGGCGCCAAGAGAGCTCCAAGAAGCCCCCACGAGAGACCCAGGACGCCCCAAGAGGCTCCAAAGGCGGCCCAAGAGAGCCCCAAGATGGGCCCGAGAGGGGTTCCACGCAAGTTGTTATTGTATCGCTCGGGAAAGGACGAGGATGAGGAGGAAGACGAGGAGGAGGAGGAGGAGGAGGAGGAGGAGGAGGAGGAGGAGGATTCCTGGGTCTGTGACTCGACAGAACCTAAGCGCGCGCGAAGCGCGCGCGTGGTTCTAGTTACCAATATCACAGCGTGCCGCATTAAACTCATTGGTTTTTGTACCATTTTGGTATTCGTGGCCTGGCAGTAGCTGCATGCAACGAGGAATGGACGACACGAGTACCAGGGGGCACCACTGGGACCTTGCTGGCAACGCATCATTCCGCAAGTCCGTCCGCGAAGTACAAGCGTGGCTCAGCGTGACACGTGTGTCCATGACCCCACCGCAACCAGCTGATGCCTTGCAGCGAAACAGTGGAGGCCTTGCCAGGATCCTGGCTATGAGAGCGCCGTCATTGATCGTCAAGTATGGCGCAACGCTACAAGGTCAACGCGCCGACGGTGTTACAAACATTCTTTTCTTATCCAGCACCAAGTTTCAGAATCTTGAGGACGATGGACAATCAACTTCAGGCGAACGCATCGACTCGGTATTAGCCCGGTTCGAAATGGACACGTCGGAGGCGGATTCGGTTGGATCGAACGAACCTCCAGGTATTGGCAATGTTCAATTTCGGGCCCTGGGGGGTAGGGCACCTCCCGAGCCTCGCAGCTATTCCAATCCCTACAACCACCAGATGCCCCGAATCCAGTAACAGCACGATCAACTACTCGAGCGGGTTCGCAGCTACGGACATTGAGATGAACGCCCCGCGGGAGACATTGGCGGGGTCTTCAGCGGTCGAAGTGAGGTCGCTGGTACGGCCCACGCAGGCGTGAGCAAATCTCCGGCGGTCACGCCTTGAAATATCTGGGTTGATCACGAGCCAAACGAATCCACGGCGCTGCTTGGCAAGGAAGCTGGCAGATCACAAGCGATCGGCATTAAAAAACACCGGGATCACGGGCCAGCTGCAGCCGTGGCCAGTGGCTCACCGCAAGCTGCATCTACCCTTTGTGGTCCCCCGGGGCAGCGCCCGGATTCACTCTTCGACTCCGGGGCCGACAGTGGCGCCGTCTCTTCCAGTGGCGTCGTTGAGATCGGCCGGTCAGATTTACCTGTTGGCGACAAACAAGCAACACAATGATCAATGAATCGATCTAGGCCATCATGGAGCAAGACCCCGCTGGAGGCGACGTCTGAAACAGCAAGTCAGGAGGTTTAGACGGACTGTGCGACGGGCGTTCCATCAGAAGCATCAGCTAAGCCCCGTGGGTGCTACGGTGCAATCATGATATGCAGCAGCTGCGGTCGTAACATTCATAGCCAGGCGCAGCGCGCGAAGGCGAAAGGCATGGGCGGTAGTGCCGCGTTTCATGTCTGAGAGCGCGATGATGGCCATCATCTAAAGTGGTGCGTTTTCCGTTGGTTGATGCCCTTCAGGACAATCGCGCCGCAGACATTATGATGGCAAGTTTCGCCGATGCCGCGATGGCCGTTAAGAGGTGCGCCGACTCTTTGCGCGAGGTCGTATGCGAGATTTTCGAAACGCCA